TATACATCCTATCTTTTCATCAGTTCATTTCCAGCGCATTAACGCATATATCTTAGAGTAAATGTAAAATTTACTCGCAGTGCTGTTCCTCATGAAGTCAACTTGTCCTTGTGAATGAAAAAAGTCCTCGTTCTGGCCTCTATTTCTGTCTCATATCTATTTCTCCGCAGCTAACTATATAAATAGGTGATGGCCTTGCTGTGCTATTACTGACTACACGTTTGCTGATTCAGAGCTACATAGCGTACCGCGTGTCTAAAAAAAAATTTTCCATAATAGGAAGTCTCATATAACAAGAGATAGGATCATAGACACTGGGTAGTGCCACCTCCGTTGTACGGGTTTTCAGCAAAAGATCTAATACAATCATGATACAAAAGCGTTTTTGTGTATAATAAGTGCGAAGATAAAATATAGCGTGGTCATCAATTTAACGTTACCTATATCGGCTACAGTTCGTGTTTACAGAAATTAACACTTGAGTATTGGTAATCCCTGGCATGCGAGATTAGCTGCACACGTAGAATGTTGCCTTAATACCGCGTGTGTTAACTTGTGTCACACTTTTTTTTCAAGTAAGTGTAAAAATCTCGTTCACAGCTAACGGGCCTTATTCGTCCTAGTAGGATGGGGCTTTATTCAGCACGTACTAGCTGCGTTTTTACCCATGGAATTCTCACCTCGCTCACGACCAGGGAAGGTCCTAGTCGCACGTCGGTATTTGCTTTAGTACAACTTGAACTATGTTAGGCCTATTTTACAACAGCCTACTTGTATCCTAGTAGTATTTAGTCTGAGATAAAATCATAAAATTAAGATTATGGCGACCTCTACCGACACGTCTAGATGCATGGAAAGTACATTAAGTGTGGTAAGTCTTAAGCGTATTTAACACTGGCATGCTTTATGACATCGAGGTAGTAGATAGCATTGCTACGCAACGCCATTCAGACAACGTAGACTCTCAGCTCCTCCAATTCAAGCTTTATATTCAGAGACGACTTCCCCTTGTGGGCGAAGCCACAAACGTCTTCTATATGTGGCCATCCGGCGATCGCCTTTTCTTTCTTACTAAACACTCTATACCAGCACTGCGGTACCCGTTTTTGACCCCCAGTAGAGTTGACTTGTGAACTACCTGATCAAAGTTGGTCTTTTTGAGAACTCCGACCGACGAACCCGTTGATGAGGGTTCCGGGACGCCGCTTAAGCGTCATACAGTCAACAATAAACTTCGCTATTGAAGAGAAAAAAAACTGGTGAGATTCAGCAGTAATTCTATGTCTCAGGGATGGGTTAGACCGTACCTCGACCCGATGGTTTCTCTATAAGAGGCCCATACAGCACCAACGACCCCAGTCGGCTGTTAGCTGTGTCTCTTCTGATGAAGGGACCACCATAGGTTTCTGGCGTCAAATCACATACTGAGGCGCTAGGCTAGAACAACAGTGGATAGAGATAGCAAGAGCATAAAGGCCACGCAGCAATCTGTTTCCGCTTGAACTTCCGGTATCCTGGCTGGATTTTGGACAACGCTTAGGCCAGGCCAAGGTTAGAGTGCTTTAGGTGACCTGTATAAATGTTGGTACATATGAGCCGAGTGGAACTCTTAAATCCGTTGGTTAGCTAACTGTGAGATTAAAAACGTTTTAGTCGAGAGACTAAAAAATTGTCAGAGCTGCGTAAAACTTCGGCTAGGTTTAAAATAAACCGTGCGTGCATTGGTATCTTAACTATAAGAGTGAACCGTAAAAATCGGACCAAAAAGATAAGAAATATACTTTAACCGAGAGCAGGTAGTAAACGCACTGGGAACGAAAGAAGAGCAGATTATTTAATATAATATAATGTTGTCAGATTCTCCTTGGTAGCGTGGAGTTGGTATCGTCGTACTTGTTGTCGTGTAATAATGTTCCACCGGGAGTGAAGTTTTCCAAGGACGGATTCTTCTTCTAAAGAGCTAACGGCTGTTCTACGACGGAATATTATTATTATATCCCGTCTCATTATCTTGGTGGGACATGCGACGCACCCCCAAGCTGCTTTGTGTTCACTTAGGCCATGCTTAGCTAGACTCAAAAATTCTAAGGCATCCATCAAAACGCCTAATTAGGCGCTCGAACAAAGGGACACATTTAGTAAAGTCAAATAAATTGAGACTATACTTCATCCAGCAGCCAAGTTCATCAAACCAGCTCATAGAATCGATCAGCCATAATAGTCAATCTGCAATATACAGTGCGAGTGCGCTTTTTTAAGCATCACACTACAGGCAAACATTGTGCTTGTAAAAGTTGGAGAGCAATTCATCAATGTATGCACGAACGTATATGTCGCTGCTCCAAGTCCTGGCAACGATCGCTATAGTCTGTATAATATATTAAACCATATATTAGGTGCAGACAATGCTCATTCGTCATTGGAAGTTTCGTGCACGTAACTCAATTAACATATACGAAAAAAACGTGCGCAACTATCTCGTGGCGACGAAACGGCTTTATCGGCCGCGTCGGCATGAACCTCTTCGACTGACATCGATGCGCACGTAGTTAATGGGTTAGAGATAGCTGCGAACTCCATCTTTACTGTTCTCCTTCTCTTGGGTATTCTCCTGCTGTGTCTGTCTTAGTTTGAAGTGCTAGAGGTCAAGGTTGGCCAACCGCTCTTTTGGCTCATTCATTCAAAGCTAACAAGAAAGATGCATGATATCAAAAGACGGCAGGCTATGTGTCTATTGCCATCACCCCACATACATAATCATCACACTGGCAGCCACTCGTGGCCTGGCCGCCGCCGCTGCTGCAACGTTGATGACATCGCCAGCGGCAATGACCTCAAGAAGCTGCCGTCAGTTGGACGAGCTGCTGCTAGGGACACTGATGAGGTTAGTGCATGCTCCTTTCTAGAGAACGACCCATCACCCGTCAGTGCTATACTCCTATATCCATCCCGACAATGGTGATAGATCACTGGGGCAACGTATTGCGAGCTAGTGTCCATTGAGTAAGAACGTCGGGCATTGTCAAAGTAGGCAGCAGTAGATGCCAAGCTCTGCTGCTTATGTGTACACTACATGCCAAGCCAACGGGTCCCTTTGAGATATCGTGCGCAGCACGTTTTTAGGCTTATATTTAGGCGTTCCTCTCTCATACTAATATGTACACTGTAGACTTGTAGACGGAAACTGCCTAGCTTCGGTACTGTCTTCCACAAGCACTTTGTTAGATATAGCATAAAGTTCTACGTCGTACCTTGATACTAGCGTAATGTCTAAAATATGTAAACGAATCCAGATATTTTATTTTTTAACTTGAGCTTGCGCAATAGAGAGCACTTATTTTTAAGGTAAATTCCTGTCAATATCTTGCAGCCACGTATCCTGATTGATCAGATCATAGCCAGATTATTGTAAATCACAATTATGGGGTACTCTCGAGAATACCTTGACGAAGATACAATGTCATGAATATTGCTGCGGACGTATTCAGTAATTATAGATATTAAGCTAATTCGTTCTACGCGTGGCTTTAGCTGTTTTTGCTGATCGATGCCCATTTGGCAGGTTATGATTTTGCTTGGTAGTATAGATTGGGAATTTTCTTCTGAAGCTTGTCGACTTCGTTGTCTTCGTTTATTTACCAGCCCCTTAAATTTCTACCCAATGGCAGCGTTGCGAAACTACTCAAGCCGAACGATTGGATAGAAGATTTACGGTTTCTGGCTTTAACCTAAGCGATGTAGGAGTAGCGGAAGAGCCTAGAAGGGCAAAAGAATGCTAAAAGCAAGCTGTTCCTCTTCTACCGGAGCACGGTGGTATTGGAGATGGGTCGACCCTGCCGTGATGCCAGGTCTCTTGCATGGAACCCAGTGATAAGCGGCGATAAGGGTAACGCGGCTGGGTGAACAGGTTTTTTATGCACAATGAGGAAAAAAATATAGGGGCAAAAGAGGAACGTGGGGCAGTGGCCGAAAGGAATAAAAATCTGAGCAAAGAAAATATAATTCTAGTGATTTACTGTTGGCGTTGGAATGATTTCATAGGCTTGTCAACATAGTGAAGCCTGGGATAAGCTGTCATATGAAGACAGGCTTTCAATAGTTTGAAAATTGATGTGCTTTGTATAACTTCATACAACTACTATCAATTTTGTGGTAAACCGTGTTGTGCTATCGGTATGGCTTCGAAAGCACTGTACATTTTCTACGGTATCAGATGCATGTAACCCACTCCGTATATTTGCAGACGAACCTATGACCCAGAGAGGCTGTTGTTTAACATAAAGTACACATTTCTAAATTGAAAACAAAGATCATCCTTGAGGCATACCTTTAAGACTCTACAAAACTTTTGCTCTAACCAAAATCTTGAATGAAGAATATTGTATATTCTCTAATCACTTGTATAAATCTCCTTGCATAGACGCTTTGCTAAGCATCATTCTTTTATATGCAGTTTTTGCTATTATATATAATATAAAATTGTATCTACGGAAATTTCAAGTATACCAGATATATAGTGTATAGTTAAATATAATTATGCCAGCCTGAATCCCAAACAGATCATATCATACTTATCATAGCAAGAATCAAAGAGTCTTCATTCGATGCCAGCGAAGACAACTCGACGAGGTAGGTCTTTGTTCAGCTGAAGCTAGTAAAAAAATTTATAGAACGTGTTCTATTATTTTAGACCTCGTAGCAGCTAATACGATACACTTCAGAGATCTCGGGCTTGCGCCATAATGGTAAACCGCAAGATCCTTTTTGGCTTTAGAAGCCTCTAACAACTTTCTCACCTATTTGGTATCACGCGCAATTTCTAAGCATTCGAGCAGTTTTGTACCGTGACGTGAAATAGAGTTACTCAACGCTGACTTAAAAGCTCAGCGATAGCTCTACGGATTTTGAGCTACATAGATAATAATTTAAATTCATATAAGAGTCAATAGTTTTTTCTCCACAAAGCAGGAAGTTTATGTTTGTTTTTCATCTAACTCATTTTTAACTTAAACAGAGTTATTAAACCTTGTTGTATTACCATCAACTAATTATCATGCCAACACGAGTGAAATATGAGCCTGGTTAGACCGTTGGAGGTTAGCTGAAGATGCGCGCGTACGTCTTTCTTGTCGTTGTTGTCGCGTGACCCAGATGTGTCCTTTTTGATACCACTCTAAAGACTCCTTCGACCTGTTTCTTGCTCAAAGCTCCGGCTATTTCCTTTTTTTGTTGGAAGTACCTTAGTAATAACAAAGTAGGCTCTCAATGCTTGACTATAGAAGGTTGATTTTTGTTACTGCTTTTAGACTAGCTGACGGCTGTTTGTAGAGATCAGTTTTATATCATCTTGAATGAGATCTTGAAAATTTGTTGAAACGTAAATGCGGTCAGCTAACACAGCATTCACCCGTTCTTGATTCTCTACGAGGATGTTATTGGTGCATGGCGCAAATACCTGTATACGAACACCGTTCGCAAATATTATCTTTATCACTCGTTAAGCAAGCAAGCCTCAAATAGGCTCATAAGTTATCTTTAGATAAACATCTGGTTTAACGTAACATATTATACATCCTGTTAATTTGGGTAGCAGAATAAATTCACGTTTTGCCATTCCCTCTTATTTGTTCGTACTCTGCGGGAATGGCCGATAATCACTATGGGGTTCGTAAAAGCTGCGACGTCTGTTTTCTTTACCAGTAAAGCTTTGTGGCTCTTTATTTGTTTTGTTTTCGATGAACAAATATATTTGTATTTGCTGGTCAATAGGGACGTTGTTATTATCATCGCCATACGAAACAATAACTTTTTTTATCGATGGCCTATTTATGATGGTGCTTTTTGTGCAGATTTTTCTTCAAATATTTAACAACTGAATGTCTATTCGTCGTAAACGTTGCGTGCGAATGTTGGCTCCGGCAACGTATACGACCACTGTAGGACATGAGGGGTCCAACATTGTATCGTCCACCCACAGGAAGTTCATCTGCGAACCGTAAACGATGTTCAGTATTGACGCCCACAGGTACAACGCCTTACTTACTTACGCCTTACAAGTGCCCCTCAAGCGTTTAACAACGTCAGTAATTGAGACGTCCGACCTGATTATCTCAATACTACGTCCATTACCTTATATAGCTATTCATGGTGGCTTAACTGAAAAGTCGAATAATGAATTGGACTTGTCATCTAGCCATAACCATGGGCCATAAAACAGAAAAGCTGGTAAAAACTATATAATCTTTTTTTTTTTTCCCTATTCATTAGATTATTAAGAGTATTATTGAAAATTAAGGCGAGTGCCAATCGTTACATGGATTTCGCGATGAATGAAAATGGAAAAAATATAGGAGTGCCAATGTATATGCTGATAAGGTGTTCAGTGTATACTCTGAGTAGGGTTCATGAGGGTAGAACAATCTCATCGTGTTTCAGGCACGGGCAAATAGATACCTGTCTATACATATATATATGCACATCTGTGTGTGATGTTCATAGAGTGACTCGCTGATTCTCACGTTAGATTAAGGTAGGTTGATTTTCGTTTACTTGATACAGATTGTGTACTTGCCAGCAGGACTGAGTGTCATTAACCGGCAGATTCGATTAAGCCAGCAGTACTTGGGCCGGCTAAAATCGTTCATGACCCCTTTTGCACATTAACCTGAGACCGAGCCTCTTGTAGGGCTCGTAGTGGCATTACGAAACCATGACGATGGCCATTCGTTCTCTGTTCGAAAGATCCCACCCATTTTAGTCTGGCTGTCCTCTGATCCTTTCACCTTCGTTGTCTTTTATCGCAACGATCATTCCATTTTAGGTTTATGCAGTTGTCTTTTTATGGCAAATCTCCTTCTATAAATTCGAATTTGTCTTCGAGCGTTTGTGTGCCAATGCTATTGTCGTCGTTACTCACAATATAACTGCACTTTTGCGCTGGTCGGCTGCGTGGTTATGCCCACTAAAATCAACAGGCGACGTTGATGTTCTGTTATAACTAGAATAGCATTTTCGCCGTGTTCTTTTCTATCTGCCCATTTGTGTTTCTACTATTTTCAGAGGGCGTTCTTGGACCGCCGCCCATTGTTGCTCTTTTAGCTGTTATCTTTTTTATGTTGTTACTGCTACTGCTGATCGGGGCCTTGGTCTGTTTTTGGGATTGGAGAATATATAGTAAAAACAAAAATCAATGTACGTACGCGATAGAGACCCGTAGTTTTTTTTTTTTTTTTTTACTGAGAACGTGACCAGCTTTAGGACGTGTCATTATTGATGGGCTTTGTGCGTGCGCGTGCATGTGTATATCATATGTATATAAATAGTAGCGCGTGTGAAAATTTCATATTTAATCTCAATTTTATACCAAATGTTGCAGTTCTTTACCAAAAACATTGACAGCTACCTGCTTTATGTGCTGAATCCGTTCTTCAACTTTTCTGAACATCCCTCGCATCTACAGGAGCTCCGTCTGCTAAGGTCCACTCGTAGTTTAACAACTGGAAAACCAATCATTGAAACCAATCATTTTCCAAACATTAGTAAACGCCTTTCCGCTGTAGAACCCCATCTCCTTGAAGAAAACTTTATCCCATTAAGCCTTCGCACACCTACTCTATATGTTTCTAACCGAAGCAGTTATGTTTGCCTTCAATGTTCAACGAAGACACGCAGGCTTACTACGCAACAGCCTTCCTACAACAGCAGCAGACCGATATTTGGGGTGTATCTGAAGATTAGGACTATGCTAGGGGCTTGGTTTAGCCTGTAAACGCTCATAGCGACGTCCCATCGCTTATACTTCGCCTTCTTGGCACAGAGTTACGAGACAACAGCAGCAACTCTACCGAATAAAAACACAGAAAGCGATTGCAGGCGCAATGTAAACAACAGAAGCAGCAATGCCAATATTGCCACCCACGAAGTGGCAGTGATGACGGTTCGTTGCAAAGGTGACACAAAGCGTCTTTTTGAGATACCCCTCCCTCCCTCCCGCCCAAAAGGGGCTACGCCTTCTTTACTGCTCCTCCTACAACTGCGATGGCCGCCATCGTATCCGTCGCTTCTGTCAGTTAATGTGATCATTTTTCAAAAATTCTGTCTTGTGGCACCGCCTTCCCTTGGTCGACGATAGCAACGTGAGCCACTATAGCAAGTTCAAATGTGGTCCGCCTTGAATTTCAGACGGCTATCTAACTTCCATTTAACAAGACAATTTTACCCTAAGTCTAGACTGAGTCGTGTAGATGGCTCAGCATTAATATCTGGGGTGAATGGATACATGACAATTGGCCCAAATGTCCCCAATAAACAAACGTGTTCATTAGATGAAAGCAAGAAATCCGATCAGGGCGCACGAGAGAATGGACGAGAAGACAGGAGTCAAAGCAATACGATTCCACTCTTACAAGTAAACGTTACTGCAAAGCCTAGGCATATGGAAGAATGATGAGCTACGAGGGAAAAATGATCAATGTGCGCACTCTGCCTGAGGTATGACATAACTCGGCACAGACGACGTGCTTAGGAACAGATGCAGAAGTAGTACCCTCTATTGGGGATACGCGAAGAAGGACAAGAGCATGTTTTCTTAGATCCTCTATAGAGTCGTTCTGTCAAGCTGACAGCCATCACGTCAAGCTATAGGACAAAGATAGTACCGGTGTTCTCCAAGAACCGGGAATGCGACGGAGGCCACTATACGTGGGTGGAGCGTACAAAGTTTGAGATGCAAAACAGCAGCGCCATTGCGGTGACCTACATCAATAAAGGCAGTTAGAAAAAACGGCAGTAGGAACTGGAAGAAGCAGAGCCCGAGTAAACCATTGTCTGAATGTGGAAGTTTTCTTGTCTGTGATGCACCATTCTTTCGTCCGTTCTAACGGAAAAAAACAGACGGGTACAGCAGTTCTATTTGTATGCGTGCCAAACGCGTCACCGTTTGCTGCTTGACGGCGAGCATGAGACTGGTGTATGTAAAATTGATGGATACTGTCTATCCTGGCTGTTTTTTGACATAGCAACCTATTCAAATTCCACCCGTAATAGGACCTGGCTGCTCTACAACTGAGTGAAACCTCTGTATGGCTTACTTACTTTACTGCAAACAAATGACTGTAAACCTCCTTACTAGTAGGTAACAAAGAATGTTGTTTAAAAATGGAGTTGGCAAAAATTAAAACCATGTCTACGTTCTTGTAACAATATAGCCATTAATATTAAACCCTATTATGTTAGAAACATTTCTTCTGTCGCCTAGTTCGTATAAGCATTTTAAGGGAAAAAAAGGTTGCTGAGTTTATCAGTGTGTTAGGAAAGTGGGTATAGTTTGCACAGGTACGTTTGTCGTCCCATAATCCCAATTGGAGTTGTCGATCTTTGATGCCTATATATATTTGAGTTGGTATGAAAATGATGCTTGGATAAGACGCCGGCTGCGGGTTACGATAGATAATCATTTAACCTGCTTTTTGTTGCCTCACAGCCATTTTTTTTCAGCTAATAAAGATCGTGACTTTTGACGAAATGCTTAAAAATACCTGTGGGCAGCGGGAACGAGAAAGTTAAACTTTACAGACATGATCCTAGAGACGTAGCACTTTAGTCTTAACTTGAAGTCACCAGGCTCACCAACTGCGAACATTTTAACTCCATACACATATTCATATTTGTCATTGAGAAAGATAGTATATCAGACTTGTATAGGAAGGTGACAAGGAAGATGTCTTAGTATCCAGGACCTGTTTGACAACATTTCAATTATTTTTCAGGCTCGAGCCCCATTAAAATGTTTGACATGAGTCTAATTTATCTCAGCCAACACAGAGGGGTAAAGGGTGACTTGGTTTCGTTAATGACAAATATCTGCGGCGTAGTCAACGGGCGTCAAACCGGTAAAATAAATATTGTATACATCATATACCCCTTTATACTTTAAGGTTTTCATGCATTTACCGAATCACACAGGAGCTGATAAAACAAGTCTGATGATTGAAAAATTTAGCGGAAATTCCAGCTGCTAGCGATCCCTAGATGCACACAGAGCAGCCACATCGAGCGACGTTCTATTTTCAAGTATTGTTTTGTTATAAAGTTAACCAAAGATAAAATGGCTCTTTAATGTTTTCGAAATCTGCAGTGTTTTCATTTGCTATCTTCCTTCTAATTGTTTGTTACGCGTCGTTATATGTTTCAATGAGCTGCCACGCTTTGTCCACATGTTGTCGATGCCCGCTGATTTCGGGCTACATTTTCCCTAATCCGACACCGTCTAGGTTTACTGGCGAATACAGTTTGACCTACGTCAATGGCCACAGCGAGGTGTCATCTACTACGGCAATTTCAAGGCTGAAACAGAAAGTTGGCTGAAAACGCAGTAAACGCATCCTGTAAGGGGTGAAGTGCTGCTCAAAGAAGATGGAAAACGGTAGGGAGGGTCTGTACTAGAAAATAATAGAAATAAAATACGGCGAGAGCGAAGAACGCAAAGGTCATGATTCATTTCACCAACGCCGCACACAAAGGCCGCAACGGCAAAGACCGTTTGCCGCCAGGCGCGGCAGTAATGCCACTGCTGCGACGAATAAGAGTCAGGACGTCTACAGGATACGCCCGTTAAAGCGAGGACGGCTGTAGGGAGACAGTGTGTTTGCATACGTGTAATGGAGTATAAATTTGAACGTCAGCTAAAAAGCGCACGTATGGATTTGTCATACGTTGTGTCGAGTGACGGGCGAGAGAATTGATATCGTTATTATGATAGGAAAATACAAACAGATGCTTAAAATCCTTAAAAAAAAAAAAATAATTTCGAAACAACGTACTCGGCCACGTTGAAATGATAGGTCCAATTATAATAGTTGTGGGATTCTAGATATGAGGATGTCTTTATAGGTTCGCGAGCATCTATTGCTATATATATATATGATGAATTAAACTTTTCCCTTTGCCAGAAAACAGAAACGATAAACCTACTACTATTCAGAACAATTCTAAGCATGTTAACAAAGAAAACCATATACTGCTCGTTAAGACAAGAATCATGCTTTAAATCGACCATATTGTTTAAACGTATTTATCTTTTATATTGCCATTATGAAATGGGTTACAAGTTGTTTGTTTCCTTTACAGTAGCTCCCGGACGTGCTATAAAGCTCCTTTACTATGCAGATTATTCATCTTAGATTTAGAACATATAACAACCAGCGAAGTAACGCACCCATTTAGCAGCTGGCGATGTCCAAATAGTGTGTTTTTCTCTAAATGAGGCTTGAAAAACAGAGATACTAGTTGTTACGTAATGCAACACGAATAATTTGTTAATTTTAGTAGCAAAAAGGCCATAACAGAGTTGTTGTTATGCCCTTCGAAGGTCTGGAGACAAACTACGTACTAAATGGAGCTGTAATCTCGGTTCGTTCACAGTTTTCCGGATCCAAGTAAATTGTATTGGCTAAATTTGGTTTTATAGAACACATTATCGAATTGGCTTACTCAGCCGACCCTTTGTCAGATTCTGTACCTCATTGGTTTATAGTTAAGATATCAGACCTTCATGTGGACCCTGTTAATTAACTGATACTTTTGAAAGTATTGTGTCGTTTCCAAGTTTGATCTCAAATCTGAAAGATGGAATTTTTGGGATAAGGTTGAATTCAAGGACGAGAACCTGAGAGGCGGTCAGAATGTTCTACCAAAGGATGTTACAACGTCGGGAAATTTCAATAATCCGTTCTCGAGACAATCGCTGCAGGCAGTCCTTTAATTTAAACGATGCATAGTTATTTTCTACGTATATCCTTGATAGAGACATTCTGAATTAAATTGGATGCAGCACATTTTACATTACTTCAGTCACACACGCAGCGGAGACACAAGACACTTCCCATGTCGCCGCTAAGGCTTATTATGAGAAGGGCCTTGAAAGGCCGTAAAATAATAAACGTTTCAAAAGGCTAAACAGTGTAATATCGAGAAAAAAGCCAGAGTAAACGGCGCAGTGAAACGCTCAGATTTAATTTGGGACAAAATGTATGAATAAATGCGCCATAATGGTAAGAGCTTTTTTAAATAGTAGAAATGTACACTGACACTGTCTTCCCTGTGAATCTTCTTTTCGCTCAAATTCGTTAATGATCGAACGAGTCTCGATAACGGTTGGTCCGTTTCTTGTATAACTATCTAAGAGTCCTCCTTCTATCAATATGATCCCGACGATCATCTAAAGTGTCCAATTCCAAACTTCTTAAATGATCGCTGCCATCGATATTTATTTAGTTGTGTGCGTACAGATAGTTAATGGCATCTATCTAGGTCTATTGTATCATCACGATCGACGTTGCGTTTTATTTGAAGTTATTTATTTCTGTAAAGATGATATTTATTACAGAATGGCACTAAAATGGGCCTGATACACGTCTTTGGAAGAGGGGAGACGCTTACAGCAAGGTGTGTTTGTCTCAAAGATACTAGTCTACATTCTTTACGTCTTCGTCTATTTGTACTTCTGTGCGCAGTTATATAACTATCGTTATGATCCTTTGAGCACGCACTATTGCACATCTAGCGGATGACGACAGAAAGACGTGAGAGCGACAAGTGTACACCGATTTCGGCCTTTTTCTTCTGCTTTTTGACTCCTCTGTGGTCTTTTTCACTACCTGCGCCTTACGATTTCGACGAGGCGGCTTTGTGGCTGTCTTCTGCACCGTTGGGTAACTTTGGGGGAAGTCGGAACAGGGCCGTGCAAGAAACGTTTGTGCTGTCCCCTGCGATGCCCCGACGAAATAGTCTTCCATTGCTCCTATTGTATGTGTATGGGTTTGTATATAAAGCAGGACAATGGAGAGTGAAAGGAAAAGAAAGAAATCGAGGAAAATTCTATAAAAGCAGCGGCAGTGAAGTAAATGTATGTCTGTTGTGGGCAGACAAACTAGCAACCCCTTTGGGCACAGCCGTTTCATAGACTGGCACTCGCCTCCCTGTTGCCTCGTTTTCTTTGCACATCTGTTTTACGATGATGATGCGTATTTCTGGGTGTCAGTAGCAGAGCAGTTGAAAGACCTGCACTCCCACTTGCAGTCTTTCGCTTTTTCTCCACGGTGTTGCTACCTAGATCTTTTATAGGCTCCCTCGACTGGGCGCCGGTTGAGGCGGAAACACGACTGAGTTGAAAGGTATTGAACACTGAAGACCAGCTACTGATAGACCTAGTCATTTGCTTGTCGTATGGGAGCCACAGCTCTGCTTGGCTAATCGAATCATTACAATAGCACGAACTTTGTGGCACTGGGTGTAGCCCTTTCGTCTAAATTCAGATTTCTATATGCATACGCTGAAACAGGAATTGACAGAAGTGGTATAATCGAACGCAAGAAGCGACATGGAAAAATGCCGAACGCAAACATAAATTTTACGGTATTGTATATATTACGGATACAATATTACGGATTGTACGGTATTTTTAACCGTAATCTGGGGAACCGTAAAATACGATATATTGACAGAAGCTTTTCTCTCTCTCAGCTACCGTCAATTTCAGTCAATCAGTTTGTGCCTGTGCGACAACCTACAGCGACAGTAATAGCCGCTGCGGTGACGGCTGCATTCAACGGCACTTGTTGTTTTGCCCCACAGTCGGCGAAATAGAGCGCTTTTTTTTTTTTTTGCTGTGGCCATCATCATGAGTATTGCACGAAAATGTCAGTCGCTCGTTAGCTAGCTGGCTAGCTTGAGAAGTGAGGGTACTGGTTTTTTGACTCGATGTGAAAGAGTAAACGTGTTCTAGGGCTGCTGTGGTGCCAATCGAGACGGGGGCGTTTCTCTTCGCTTTGTTAGTTCGTAAAGACAAAGGATAGGACGGAGACCAGTTTTGGCTCAGATGTCGTTGTGTGGCGGTAATACCCGTTAGAAGTTTCTTGTTTAAGATTATACTTAGCGAAACAGTATCCGTCATTATTGTCACCCTACTTTGTACTTTATTATTACTATTAGATATGCTTTGTGTACTTTGTCCCTATTACCCACTGGGGGGCGCTAGCAGCTCGATTGCGGGGAAAAAGATATTGACTGCTCTATTATCCTATTGTTGTTCTAGACTGAAATTCTTTTCATTTATCTTAAGGGGAAAAAGGACCCGAAGGAAAATTGCTGGCTAATCTTTTTTTTTATGCCGCTATAGAAATATCACTGTATGTACAGCATGCGTATTTGTATATCATGTATCATACTGTTTTCGATGATATATCTAGATAATTCTGTTTACTGTAATGTGAAGTAGATATAGCAGCATATACATTTTCTCTTTTATGCTTCATCCGGGTCAGTTCAATGAATCATAAGATACACAAGCAGGCATATTATAGACACGTAGCCCTTGTCAACCTATGTATTCGAGTAAAGATACTGATGGGAGTAGCGAGCGCAACCAAGTGAGAAATTTTCTTTTAGCTATGAAAGCGTCTGCGAGACAAGCGCTCCTGTGTTACTATAAACGGATACACATAAGTGCATCGAGCAGCGTCGTCACCGTAGCGCTCACGTAAAAAAAAGGAACCATAAAAAACAGGTTAGAAGAATCCGGATCGAAACTGACTCCTCTCATTGTTTCGCGCAATTTCCCATTGTTAACAACAACAACAACAACAACAATACCTAACAGCAGTAGCGTCAACAATATTGTACAGCATCGTGATTGTAATGATCGTGCGCTAACTTCGTATTGCCACACAGTGTCTCATTGACACTATCGTTATAGGGCCACTACACAGAAAAACACTATGGACGAATCTACGGCCATGAACCTCTGCACAGGGACGCACAAAAATGGCTATTAGAAAACACCATTCGTTTTCTGGTTACTACTAGCTACAATGTTGGCTGTAACACCTAATAATCGTATTACATACATATATTGAAATAATGGATAGAATCGCTTACTTTTTCTCACTTGTTACTTCGACCGCGACTGCCACAGTCAATTGCCTGCCGCTGCCAGCTAGAATATATATAACCACGATAATAATAATGATGATGACGATAAGTGCGACGGTAACGAACAGTGATGATATCGGTATTCTGCCACCTTTCCTTCTCAATCTCTATCCCGGCCTTTTCTCTCTCTCTCTCTCTCTGCAGTAATCACCGCCAATATCAAAGTGATGACGTTGATCCGATTGCTGATAATGATGACTGGTGATAATGCGGCTTGCGTTGACGAGGGGGCCGACGACGGACGTTTCTGACGCCCGTTTATATTGTTCTTGTTGTGATCGTTGTTGTTTTGTGTACTTTGTTTGTATCGGTGCTTGCGTGATCTGGGCCCGTCTGCTGTCAGGTAACCCTCTCCTCTTTGTTCAGTTGTCTGCTTGAGCGCGGCTTTGATGGTATTGGACATCGGACGCCGTTGGCAATAGCTTATGATACGATCGGATCCCGGGGCAGGGGCGACCACGGGGCAGTACCCGGTAGCCTTCGGTAATCGAACGCGTGCTCAACGCAAAAGTGTAGTAATAATTTTGACTAGAACTTTAATAATAATAATGATGCTCCGATCTCGCCTCAAGCGGAATACTAGTGAGCGTTACTATAGCGGTGCTGCTGCTGTTGTTGCTGTTGCCCGGTGCGCGATTAATGGAACGTTATGTGGCTAGCGCCTTCTGCTTTTCTTCACCCTTTTCAGTATTAGCATTATCTTCCGTAGATTCGACGAAGACACATATTGATTGGCGGCACTACGGCCGACTCCACTGGCCAACTAACAACGAAATGCTTTTCTGCTGCCGTTTGTTATTATTACCCGGCGCACCGCCGGCCTCCCATATAGCAATTCTCTTTCTTTGCATTGGCATCGGGCGCAACATAGTCCCCTTCTTGTTATCCATTATGATCACTGCGACGAAAGATATTCGTTATAAAATGTAACCATCAACTATTACTAGCTCACCAAAGCATTGGCCTGCTAGGTCAGCTTGTATCGCTGTCACGTCGATCATACAAAGATGGATAATTATCGCAGGCCTAGATGACTCTGTGCCCAAGATTAGTCAAATAAATACTGTGTTGCAATAATCAATTGCATGTGTATAAAGAACACTTGATTATATATTACGTATATAAGCAGTAACAGAAATGTCGTGCAACCTATGCGACGGCATAATCATCATCATAGATATTCATTTTTGCCAAACTACATTTCCTAATAAGTTCAATATAGACTTTAAACGGATACGATACTACCGTACAGGCTATTCATTCAAGAAGTATTACATCAATTTCTTCTGATCAGCGCCACGATTTGAAACTAAGCCAAGACAGGAACGTAATCCGACTTCTGTTGTGATAACTCCTTGAACCCTGCGTGACCCGCATTCTACTTGTTGCACTATCCGGCTAAATCAGACATTATCAGAAACATCATATAGAGCTTTTGAAGCGCCGAGTCCTTATAGAGTCAGGTGTTACCTATGACGGATTAGACAGGCACTGGCTTCCACTTTTGTTGCCTCCTAAAAGCTATAACAAATAAGACCTTCAGGCTACGTTTATTTGTCTAGTGACCCCCCTCTGATCCGTCAAAGCGGTAGGTTAAAACACACAATCACAGGTGTATGCTCCATGCCTTACACAGGTCAGCGCTAGTTCTCATCGTGCCGTTATGCAGCACATCATCTTAAAGCTATTCGACAACCGTTGCAGCAGCACTATTGGTGGCCATAGACAGTGTTTGGCAGGCCTCTCACAGGTTGCACTCGTCCTAAGTGACTCGTAGCAACTTGCAACGTATTCCTTGCGAGCGCAATAACAGCGACTATTCTTTAAACCGTTCTTCTTTGTCCAACTGCTCCGGCTTATCGTTCACATCCTCAAGGTGTTTCGAGGAGGAGGTCAGCAGTCTGTACTCAAGCAATACACTGCACACTGCTCAATTGGATGAACGCGCATACAGAGTGGCGTAGTGTAAAGAGCTACGCAGCTCACGAAGCGTTGCTCACGCAACTTGTGTCCGGCGAGGAGGGGGAGGGGGCACTGAGCGAGGAACAAGAATGGGCATCATTTCTATGTTTCCAATACACTCTCCTTACGCTCACTTCGTGTTGCATTCATTGCTCGGCATGCGCCTTCGTCCTGGAGCATCGCAATTGCCACCTCCACAATCCTGCACAGTCCATTGCAATAGTTTTCTAGGTCGCCGTCGTCAAATAGCTTCAGCTGCCCTTCCGCTTTCGTTTTTGTATGGCACTGTGTTCACAGACCAGCACTGAGCTCTCAAGCTGAGAAAGACCAGCAGCGTATGTGAGTGACTAAACGAGTGAACAGACAGACAGCCAGCCAGCCAGCAGTGGTGAAACTGAGCAATGCACGAGATCGGGGACTTCGAAGCGAATCCCGCTCCAGGACGTCACATTGCTTTTACTTCGTAATGCTCTGCACGTAGTGAAGTATGGAAGGCACGGGCAAGAGAAGCTGCTGCAGTAGGGATAAAGAGCGGAGAATATACAGAGGGGCAGTCGAGGACTGGGGTAGAGTGAGCGGAATGGCAGTCGAAGTTAGCTGGGGCACGAAAAGCCAAAGAAGTCTATTCCGTCTGGACGAAGTTGCCTTCACTTCAGTTTCTTCCGTAGCCCCACTATCCCTATGCGTTGTGCGTCTCTGGAACGTAGAGACGTGCTGGAGCTTCACTGCCGCTACCGTCGTCGAGGATGGTGGTGCCCATGCATGGTTGAGCGGCATCGGACGACGACGGCGACGATGAACAGGGGAATAAACGTGTGACCTAGTGAGCAAACAAGTAGCCACGTAGCACATATTCAGTGCAGCTAAGGCGGCCAAGATAGGCCGGTTTTTCTCTAGAATTAGAATATTGAATATCCACGAGAAAAATTCGCAGGCGCAACTAGGTTTATAACACCTGTGGTGCTACCGAGTCACTGATGGCCTGAAACTGTCCAACGAAAACTGTCTAATGCTTTTTTTTTGGATAATGTATCTTGTCTAAAAAAGGTAGCCCTATAGTACCCGTAAACGCCAAGGCGAGAAAGCAAAACCAAAGATATAGCGAATATGGATAAACTTCGAGGATTTGATTCACTTTTGGATAAAACCACTAAACTATTAATATTTAAGTTCGGAATATATACAACTAAAAATGTTGGCAATAAAACGAAGGATCTACCTGTTTCGGTTCGTTTTATTGGTAGACATTTCAGTATGCCGTCCACAAACTGTGTGAACCTATGTACATATATTTGCTCCAAGCCGTGCTTTTGATGTTAAACACGTTTGGAAGCTAACTAAAGGTTTAATAATTGAGCATTAACGCATAACAAAGTAAGCAACAGCTAGCTGTCTTTAAGTAAGAACTTGAACTCTCAGGACGACGAGTTCGACCTAAATTCTGTACCTACAAGGAGTGCAGGCGGTTTCCATAGAGTAAAGAGGTTGTTGTGTATTTCCCAAAACAAGTTAGTAGTGGCCAAGCGGCGGTCACCTCGTTGAGAGATGCGAAATATCAAGGGAACATAATGGCCGCCGTCAAACGTCCGAAGTGGATGTATGGCCGGCCAATCGGATATCTAACATGTGAGAAACCGTGAAACGACGTGGCCATAGGCCATAAATCCATCCATGCTCTCTTCCGCCTTCCGTCTTTTCTAATCTATCCTCATCGATAATCGCTGATGCCACTGCTAACGATAATGAACAGGCAAACGTTTCTTGCCAAGAAAAAAAACCTAAATCGCCACTTTTCCTGCCCAAGTAATTGGCTGCTCTCACAAACCTTTTATAAATCAACAGGAACGTGGTTATATTGTTCTTGCTGTGCAGTGTGCATATAACGTGCAATTTTCTTTTTACATAGTAAGGAATCAAATGTACGTCATTGACACTCGGTTAGTAGATGTTTTTCTTCGTTTTTTATCTAGATACTTGATGTGCGTCATAACAACTTCGTAAGATATCGTCTGACCCTGTTCTGCCGCTAAGAAGGGAAGCTAGTTGTTCAGTCTACGCCATTTAGATAACCAATAACCTAATTATACCGCGCTTGAAACGTAGAAAATAATTCGCAGATGCACAACGTTCTCCCTGTCTATTACCGGTAGCAACTTAACTTAATTGCTGGGTAGTTCGGCTGTGTGATTATGCCCACATGCGCACACTAGAACGGTGCAATGTACATGCTTACGTGTGTTCAGCTATTATCAAAGCTAGCGATTTGCCCGGGGTCAACTTGAACTGATTATTAGTCTTTTTTGCTCTGAAACATGCCCCTATCCATTATTAGTCAACCACCTACTTCCAGTCTTAATTTTGAAATGAATATATATACCTATATAAATGAATGTTATTTGATTCATCGGAGATGACCTATTCGCAGAGGAGTTACATTCAGATGGGCTCCGACAACTGACTTTTTAGCAAGGCATATATATAGTCAAGTTTATCTACTCCGTTGTATTCTTTTGAAGTCCATACTATATAGAAGAATATATATGTATACTGTCACAATTATACGCAATAGTTCGAACGTTAGAAAACTTCACGGTAACAATGTGGAATGAGAAGCGCTATACGGTTTCTATGATTTATGTTCTACACTAATTCTACGGGTCGTAAAGTCGTTGTAGGAGACAGAGACAAAAGAGTTACGTTGGTTATGGATTGGCTGGCTGTTACGTTCACGGAGCGCCCAATAGCCGCAGTGGTCGGAGCACCTCATCTGTGACGGAAGGAAGCAGTGGGAAATTGTTAGGGTATTGTAAATTTCGCATACCGAAAGAGCGGTGCACCGATTAGGACAGATGCTGACGGTCGCTGGCCGGGTCTGTTTTTTGGCCATGCGACGTGTCTGTGACGACGTGTGTGAGGCGGCTCTGATGTGAATACAAGGTCATGACGGCGCAAGCGCTAGCAGCACTCGTCATGATCGTAGCTAAGAGGCTGCAGGCAAAGTGAGGATATATTGTTGGTAAATTTACCCACAAGTT